TTCGGTCTGTACTGGCGACCTCGGTCAAGATTCTCCCATACAGTCCTCCCGCTCGGTTAATAAGAACTAAAGACCAACGAAACAGTGCTTCATGAGGTAAAATACCAAGTACAAACATCAAGCATTCACAAGTAGAAGCTAATTTGGTAATATCAACTAAGTTGAAATTGTAAATTGGCCACCGTAAAAGGTTTAAAAAGCCGACGTTTCGAGCGTTAGCCCTTTGTCTGACCGGTATATTACTTGATGATCTTTTCATGTCGACCTGAGCCAAAATGATAATTACTATTATAATCATTCTTCTCCTCCTGACTAAGGGCTAACACTCGAAACGTCAGCTTTTTAACCCTTTTACGGTGGCCAATTTACGATTTCAACTTAGTTGATATTACCAAATTACCTTGTTACCCCACCGCGGCAGCACCAGTTTCTTTAGAAACTTACCCCCTTTATTCACAACTGAGCAGAAGCTGCCGAAATGCTGAACACTTACTTTGTCAAAATGGGCCCAAGGCTAAGTAAAGATATAACGAATATCGACGTACCCTTTGATAGTTTTCTTCGTGCAACTTCCCGTGAGTTTGTCTTTGAAGAAATTAGTTTTACGCAAGTTCTGTTTCTCAGTTCTGAGCTTTGTAAATCAAAAGCGACTGGACCAGACAACAACATCGGCAAAATTGCTGAAAGAGCGCCCAGATTAAGTCGCTGAGTCCTTTACACTAATATTTAATCAATCATTATTGACTGGAATTGTTACTCCAGTGTATGAAAATTAAGGAAACGAAATGACCCTATGAATTATCGACCAATTTCGGTAATCCCAACCGTGGTGAAAGTATTCCAAAGGATCGTTCATGACCAACTTTATCAATTATTATCTAGCCAAATATCATATTCTTCTCGTTACTAAACTGGTTTTCTTTCGTTACATTCTACTGTAACCGCTTTGCTTGAGGCTACGGACAGTTGGGCAATGAAAATTGATCGTGGTCACGCTAATAATGTTGTTTCAGTTTCTTAGACTTAAAAAAAAGCTTTAGACTCTGTTAACCATGGTATATCGTTGGCGAAATAGCATTACTACGGTTTACGCGGTCCCTGTATTGACCGGTATATAGCTTGATCTTTTTTAGCTGAGCCGAAAAGATAATTACTATTATAATCATCCTTCCCTCCTCCTCATCGTCATCATCATCCCACTCCTCCTCATTATCATCATCCTCATCCCGCTCCCCCACATCATCATCATCATCGTCACCATCATCATTATCATCGTCATCATCATTATAATCCTCATGCCACTCCTCCTCATCGTCATCATTATTATCGACATTTTACACGAAAGAAGTCAAAGGTGACCATGAAATGCCCAACCACAATTAATGACGCATATGTGAAGGTCATATAAAACAGGTGTAACTTTTTTGTTTTCTTGGCCAAAGGTGAAAGCGCAAGGCGAATGTGAAGCGCGAGTCACGAGTCATATACTTGTGTCTTCGCTTCACGCTCGCCTCGCGTTTGCCTCCTTTCGCCTGACAAACCCAAAAAATACGCCCGCTCTGAAAGCTATTTTCATCAGTGAAAAAAACATTTTTAAGGGTGGAAAATTAGGAAGTCAATGTTCGAATCATAATGGGAAACCTCCGTAGAGCACAACAACTAGAAGCCGTGAATAGTGGGTAGGTTGCTTTTGATTGGTAAGTTTGGATCTCGCGGTGAAGCTAGCTCGTTCATTCCGGCTCCCTTGTTGTGGTACTTGGGACTTCAGGCAGTCAAGACGGCAACGCCACGGAAGACGTCGATTAAAAAAATTAGTTTCTACTCTTAGTTAGAATTTCGAAAATGGCTGCATGTGTTTACCGTCTCATAGGGCGCCAGACCTCAAACTCAACATAACGCATAAAAGTAGCGTTGAGTTCCAAATGTAAATTAAAATAATTTGCCGCCGCGGTTTCGCTTCGCAGACGACGCAAATTTTGGTGATTTCACGTTGTTGTTTTGCAAAGGACGGCTAAGAAATGTACAAAGTTTTAAAACGCACGTGCTGGGCTATTGTTCTGCCAATTAGATCTATTGTTTTTCCACGTTCTCGTTGCCGTAGCCGTCGTGGTTTGCTTAAATTTAGGGACCTTAAGAAACCACGATGGCGACGGCAACGAGGACGTGGAAAACAAGAGATCTAATTGGCAGAACAGTAGCTCAGCA